CTTCCGCTGCAGACGGCTTCCCTGGGCGGTTCCTTGCCACGCAGGACGCCCGTGGCCACCCCTCGTGCCTGCGTCGAGGACGGCTCCAACTCGGGCTGGGATTAAACAACCTGCCGTCGCGGCGTGCGGCGTCTACCTGAGCGCCCCGCGAAGCCGAGGTGGCGCGGTCCCACGTGACCTCGGGGCCGCGCTTCCCGGAGCCCCGCCGCCGGGCGGAAGTTGTTTGTGGCTTAGCGCAAGTTCGTCCTTCCCCGGGACTCAGTCTGTGCTGGCCCCGGGTGTGCAGCGTGGTTATATGATTTCGGTAGGAGTCGAGCTTCTCTCCTTACTGGTTGACTTTGCTGGAAGGACTCTGACGGACTCCCCGGGGGACGGAGACCACGCAGTTAAGGAGTTGGGCCACGTAGTTAAGTGGCGGAGGCACCGAGAGCGGCCGGAGCCGCCTTCTGTCTCCCTCTGTCGCGCTTTCCCGAATTGTGCTTTAGGACAGCAGTAGCAGCAGCGGATCTGACTTGTCTCCACCACCGTAGTCAGAATCGGAGGCGGTGTGAGTCGGAAAGCCGTCCGGTCCGCTCCCACCTTCATGTTCTGGGGGTCGGGTGGGGTCATAACACTCGGCAAAGTGTCCTGACAAAGGCACAGAATTGCCTGATATCCAAGCTGGATTTTCAAGTGCCTGTTAGTGTTCAGGCTTTTGGTAGGGATGAGCGCCATCTGATGAACAGTCTCACAAAGTACTCCAAAATTTGATAGGCTTGTATCAATGGTAACAAACTTTAAGGGCTGTATTTAATGCTGTTTGTTTTCAGCTGTTTTGTATTTACCCTGTAATTTTAATTGTGCACATTTAGCCTGATAAAGTAACACGAATGTTCATTGCCCCAAACGCATAAAACCCACAGAGGTGCTTTATCTTTGTCTCAAGCCACAAGCTTTTAATTCCCCTCTGCAGTCTTATCAGTGTGATCTTTTTGTACTGTCATGACTATGAACCTTTGTTTCAAAGACTAGTTGGAGATGTACTTGAATATAAAGAAATTGGTGGGTTTTGACTGCTCCAACCCATGGCTAGAAGCATGAGAATGCAGTCAAGAAAATACGTGAAGTCCCACCATCACCCCTTTAAAGAAAGCTTTTCTCTCTGGGCACCTCTCACACTATATTTAGCACAGGACTATTTGACACTTAAACTAAATGAACTTGTCAACTTACATTTTTTTAAGGATAAAATATAATAGAAGCTCTGTTTTTTCTTCATACTCCAATGGATGATCTACTTACCACCATAGGATGATCACACTCCACTGTGGAGGAAATGGTTTAACAGTTTGTCATCTGGGTATTCAACTTTTATTCTCAGATAAGATCAGTAAACTGTCCGCTTATTTTATATGGCATCTACTACACAAAGTCAAGGAAGAATTCCAAAGTCATTTGCATTATTCCAGAGAAACAGCTTTATAGTCAGTTCCTGAAGGAGCAGAATTCTGTGTATTGTCATAGAGTAGGTTTCTCAACCTTGGAATTACTGAGATTTTAGAGTAATTCTTGCCCATTGTGTGCATTATAGGGTGTTTAGCAGCATCCCTGGCCACTATCCTCCTAGATGTCAGAAACTCCTCACCCTTAGTTGTGACAACCTGAAATACCTCCTGACATTGTTAAATGTCCCCTGGGGAGTGTGTGTGTGTGTGTGTGTGTGTTGAGGGGGATTTGACCGGTTGAGAACTACTCTTATAGAAACCTTTGGAAAATCAGCCAGCCATCTCCCAGGTTATTTCCTCTTAGAGACTTTTCCTATAATCCATTTTTTTTTAAGTTTTATAAAAATTTGTCAGAGGGAATGTACACTGGCTGCCAGAGAGAAAAAGCACCCTCCATGGGAAATGCTCACACTACAGTTCTTTCTCCTACAGTTCATTCTGTCAGGATTTTGGACCCATGCCTTGAGTGTTTTTCAAGCCACCAGGTCCAGGACTTGAACCATACAGTTGCCATGAGGAATTCAGCTCCCTTAACCCAAGTCACAGACCACTCCCTTCAATTTTTTTTTTTAGAGGTTTTTGCTATAGGGCGCATGCACTCACCAGACAGAGAGAGACAGAGAGACAGAAAGCGAGAAATCACCCCCCAGGGGGGATGACCACGTCGCAATCCCTTCTCCTCCGTTCTCCTCTTGGGATCTTGGGCACACATACACATGCGCCCGGTGTGAGTTTTAAGCCACTGGGTCCAGGACGTGAACCATGGTCGACTACTGTCCCAACCCACAGGACAGTCGAACAGGTTTCCTGAGGGAAGGAGTGAGAGACGGACGAACGGCGCACTGTCACAGCACAGAGACAACGCAGTGTCTCTTCAGGGTCGTCTCTTTATTGTAGGCAGCACGGAGACGACACAGTGTTCAGGGTCGTCCGGAGACGGTGCTGTGTCACAACTCTTCAGGATCTTCAGGGTTGTCTGGCGATTATGCGCCAGGGATCGTGGTATATACATGTTGGAGGGCCAGGATTGGTTGAATGAAGGATAGTAAAAGGTGGGTTATGATTGGTTGCTTTGTGGACCAATCATGAAGTGCCCGGATATGCAAATCTGAGGGATTCTAATATGCCCACTGATTTGCTATGGGAAGTGACCAATCAGAGTATGGTTTTGAAGGTGAGGTTTTTGAAGGGGAGCCAATTGTGGCCTTTGTAATTGTTTGCTCTCTGAGCCTAAGATGGCAATAGTAAGAGACTCATGAAAAATAGCCTCAGCAGACTTACTGGTGCACAGCCTCCCACAGACTACGTGGGAGTCCAGTGACATAGCCATTACGCCAACTGCTGATCCCCAATTTTTTTTTAATTGGTCTTTAGTCCCATTTTTTATTTTTTTGAGTGATTTTTTTACTATAGGTGCATGCGCTTGACAGCCAGAAAGTGAAAAATCACCCTTCCAGGGTGATGGCCTTGCCACAGTCCCTTTTCCATTCTCCTCTCAGGATTTTAGGCATGCATGTTCATGTGCCTGGCATGAGTTTTAAGTTGCTAGGTCTGGGACTCAAACTGCTCTGGACTACATGGGAGTCCAGTGACGTAACCATTACATCATCTGCTGGTCCCAGTTCTACTGTCTTAACCATTTTTGTTGAAAGTAATGGTACAGTTCTTCCATTCTTGTGAATATGTGAGCAGGGTGAATTTCCTAGTTTTTTGGGTTTTTTTGGGGGGGTGGGGGAGAGGATTTTGCTGTAGGTCATGTGCACTCACCAGATAGACAGAGACAGACAGAAAGAGAGAAGTCGCCCCCTGGGGGGATGGCCACTCCACAATCCCTTCTCCATTCTCCTTTTAGGATCTTGGACACGCACGCACACGCGGCTGGCGTGAGTTTAAGCCACCAGGTCTGGGACTCGAACCAGTCGACTACATGGGAGTCCAGCAACATAGCCATTAGGCTAACTGCTGGTCCCAAATTTAATCTAATTTTTAAACAAAAATTAAAAACAAATTGCTTCTATCTTCTGTCAGTAGTCTCCCTCCAAACAGACCAGTGCTCCCAACAGGAGCCTGTCTTCTAGCTATGAGAACTGTACAACTAGTAAACACTGGCCCCTTAGGAATCAGAAGTTTGGCTCCACTCTGATAACCTTCTTGGACTAACTTGTTAAAGGCAGTTCATTCTAAGAACACAACAGTAAACCTTACAGACATTCATGTACTTGGTTAAGTACGTGTTCACCAAGGGAGACTCAAACTTAAAAGGAGGAATCCCTGGCTTGTTGACCTGGTTCACCAGGACATCATTTCAGGCCCCAACCCCACATGATTTTGCCAGCTCTAGTTCTCACAGCTAACTGAATTCATTGCCCACATTCCAGTTACAGTTCTTGGAAGAGAGAACATAATGATCTGCACAGACTTCCCCACCTGTCCACTGTTTACTTCTCTGACTCCATCTTGTGAAATTTTCTCTAGAGCTCTTTGAACTTTCAATTCTCCTAACAGCTTCTATTTTTTCCTGTGCCAGATCTTCACGTATTGTTTTCTTATGTCTAGACCACTCGTCCACTTCTGGCTATCACTTACTGTTCCCTTCACGGCTCTCAGTTAAGATGTTACTCCCTCTAGAGGGCCATCCTTAACATCCCAAACCACCCCTTCCTCGCCACCCCTCGGTTAGAGGAGGTGTTCCTGCTCTGTGCATCTCTGCACCCTCGTGTAGGAGTGTAGCTGATGCGCTCTGCTTCTTAAAGACTGAGGTCATCTCTGGGCCTCTTTTCCTCC